GAGAGAGGAGAGAAGAGAGTGGGAAGAGGAGAGGAGAGAAGAGAGTGGGAATAGGAGAGAGGAGAGAAGAGAGTGGGAAGAGGAGAGAGGAGAGAGGAGAGTGGCGATAGGAGGGAGACAAAAACGAAAGAGGAGAGTGGGAAGAGGCGAGAGGAGAGAAGAGAGTGGGAAGAGGAGAGAGGATAGAGGAGAGTGGCGATAGGAGGGAGACAAAAAGGAGAGAGGAGAGTGGGAAGAGGCGAGAGGAGAGAGGAGAGATTTCATTTCCCCTTTTCTGTGCTGTATGTGTCGTACCTTCCACGCCAGATTCCGACCCAAGGCGGATACGAAGCCATTCGCGCCAAGCCAGCAGCCAATTAACAGCAGCAATGCAACCCATCCCCCCTTCTTGTCGAGGAGGAGGTAGCAAGTGGCATACAGCAAAGCCAAGACGAAAGCCAAATTGAAGATGACGTACTGTTCAGTACCACTGAACGGGCAAAAGGGGAGAGGCGGAGTAGAAACGAACGGAGGAGAGTAAGCACAAAAGACAAGGATAGAGAAAAGAAGAGGCCAGACGAAGATGACATGGATAACGAGATTCATCGGATGAGTATGATAGGCCCCATAGAACCCGAATTGCTCTTCCAGATCAAACAGAGCCCCCGCACCCATGATTGGTTGGTTGGTCGTATACCCTACCTTCGGCTTTCAAAAAAAAAAAAAAAAAAAAAAAAAAAACTAATAATACTTATTAATTATGGATATTAACCGGGTACGGCCTGTTTTAGATGGCGATGGGTCATATATTTATAATAATATATTTAGATGGAGGTGGCCAAATTTCAACGGCGGTCGCTGAAACTCTTCGGGGCGCCTCCAAACTTACTGCCTACGTGGAGCCACCAGATTTGTCCACGTGTGGAGGCAGATTCCACCAGTGCGTCCTCTCCTTCCACGTCCAGATTTGATGAGCTGACGTCAACCTTGCTCGCGTGATGATGTTCTCCGCCCTCACCGACACAATCACCTTGTAATCGGTTTCAAGTTTTTCTAACGTGGTTACTACTACAATCTGGGTCTCGCTGCACTACTCTCCAAATGTGCAAAATGATAACGAATCTACCGCTAGAACATGGAAAGATACAGCGTCATATTTTTTGTCTTTTGTGCATGCCCAATCTGTTTGGTTGTGCATGACTGGAATCCTTCCTCCTCTTGCCAACAACGTTTTCCTGCGCCGGAGTGAAAAAAAAAAGAAAAAAAAAGGAAAAAAAAAGAAAAAAAAAGGAATGTGATCTTTACAACACTGCAGATAGGACCTTTTCTACAAAGCTGTAGACGTGATTGAAGTCAGATTCATCGACGTCCAACAGTAAGGGCATACTCACACTGTGCCACGCAGAGCGTGGGGGCGCAGCCAGGATAAAGTAGAAAGTAGTAGCGGGGAAGCGGCGCTGAAAGCCTGCGAATAGCCTGTGCGAATAGCCTGTACCGATGACTTCGGTTGAATATTATAAGGAAAAAAAAAACAGGGGGGTCCGGGTTTCACTGTCTTCGTGTAGTGCAGGTGGCATTCGTTGATGGAGAAAGGGTTGTTGTTTTTTTTTTGGGTTGTGGCTGACGGAGAAGTCTGGATATTTTTTTATTTTTATTTTATTTTTTTTAAACCACCAGTACCTCCGAGCCTGTTTTTACCAACCGTAAATTATAGTGCGCGCCGTTTTGTGCCGAGGCTGTGTCCCGTTCGACATCGGCCTTTTTTTGTTTTCACTCCGGTAACGTTTCTACATCTCCGTTTTCCCTATCCGGCATCAACCGACGCACAGACAAAGTTTAGGGCGGGGTCCCTGTGGCTGGTGCAATGATGCCAGATAATTGTTTGTTTGTTTGTTTGTTTGTTTGTTTGTTTTTTTCCTCCTGGGCCTCCCAATCGCCCCCCCCCCCCTTCCCCCCTGTGTCGGTTCGCCGGCGACCCGTAGTTCGGGGAGGATCGCGGTGGTCGTCCGGACGTGGGTTGAAGGACGCACGACGATGGTTGCCATCGTCGGCGCCACGTCCCGACCTTGCCTTCGGCAATGGGAACGTGTGTGTGTGTGTGTGTGTGTGTGTGTGTGTGTGTGTGTGTGTGTGTGTGTGTGTG